CAATATTATCGTTTATCGCAATAAATTTTGAGACAATTAATCGCCCAGCAAAATTTGTTATCGTGACAGGCCTACACTCATGTAAAACCAAGTAGCACCTACAAAGATGGCGGCACAACTTCTCGCCTTGTCACAACAGACTGTGTCCTGCTGGTCTATCACCTGGTAGGCTGTCTCACTGACTGTATGTCTAAGTGCCGATAATGACATCACTTCCTGTTAATATAATACTCTGAGGGAGGTGATGATGTCATCACTTCCTGTTAATAAAACAATCAGGGATCTAATAATGATGACATCACTCCCTAGTTCTGACATCCATGTGAGTCCAGATCAGAAGCAGACCTGTTGGACACAAACTGGACTCCTCTGTAAGTTCTGATGCACTCAGATAATTCGAACAGACTGAAGTGGATCTGATGATGTAAATAAAAACTAACTGGAGGCTGTTTGTTGTCTGACACTGATGTGTGGATCCTCACCTTCATCTTCCTCCTCCCCCTCGTCTTCGTCCCTTTCTCTGAGGGCCAAATGATGCGGTCGGCCTTCACCCACTCATCGTACCTGAGGGTGAGAAACAGACGTTACAACACCTGTACAATGTTTGCTCTCATCACTGCAGCTGGCARCGGATTGGTCAGACAGCCAAGAGAAGGTGTGACATCATCTGATGTCATCAGGTAACCAGCGAAACCATTTCTCAGCTTCATCACTCCTCCTCCTCAGTTTAAAGCGATGAAGGACAACAGGTCTYGTCGAGTTAAAGCTCCACCCACCTGACGTTCCAGCCGTAGTAATGGACCAGGTAGAACTGTTCTCCGTTGTCCACGTCCGTCTTCTTGATGTGAGCTTCGTAGATCTTCTGGGTCTTCCCTCGGCCGTACTTCACCCTGACCTTGGTCCCCGTCACAGAGTCCCCCTCCTCGCCGTCCTCGCTCCTGAAACAGCAGCGTGGTCAGGTGTTTGAGCTCCGACACCTCCGACTCAATCAAATTCAGTCTCACCTGGCTCTCCGGGTCTCCTCGTCCCCCTCGTCCTCTTCTTCCTCGTCCTCGTCCTCCTCCTCCTCCTCTTCCTCCTCATCCGATCCCTTTTCTGAATCGTCCATCCTCCTGTTGCTGCGTCTCCTCACCTCCCGCTGCTGCTCCTCGCTGTTCTCTGCTCCTCCTCCTCCTCGTCCGGGGTTGTTGGGTCGAGGGGACATTTTGAGACGACTCCCCACGCACCTCCTCCTCCCCTAAACCCAGCCCCGAGACCCGGCGGGTCAGAACCTCACTCCAAACACCAGACTGAAGCACGGCTGACAGCAGGCTCACCCGAGGAGACGACTGGTGTCTCTCCTTCATCTCCTTGTCGCTCTCGCTCTCTGAGTCCTCCTCCTCCTCCTCCTCTTCCTCCTCCCCCTCCTTCTTCTCCTCCACAGGTTCCACCTTCAGCTGGGGCGGCCCGGACTCTCTGAGCTCGGCCCGGGTCTTCTTATGGTTGCTCAGGACCATGTTGGTGTGGTGGACGGTTCTGAAGGTGATGGAGGCGCCGCGGCAGTACTCCTCAAAGCCGTACAGGTACCTGGACCACACAGAGGTCAGAGGTCAAACCAGGTCTGGAACCGTTCCTCCTGTAATTCAATCACTAAAAATCGTCGAGACAAATTATCGGCCTCAACGCTTCGTAAAAATACATCGTTATAATCAGCACACTTTCATCAGCCTGGAATGGTTTTTGTGTTAAACAATGC